TGTGTGTGTGTGTGTGTGTGTTTGTGAATGTGTGTATTTGTCATAAAAATAAAATCAGTACATTCTAATAGGAGATATACCAGTCTACAACTCTTTTTTTTCACCTCGGTACCATGGTGACACCATGACGTATCAACTCCTTAAGATAGATTTTACTTACCATTCTTCTTTGAGCCTGGGCGAAAGTAATTACTTTTCCCCCAACAATCCGTGTATGTATGTTTGTTGTCTTAGTCATATGAGCGCCAAATATGTTTGTTGTTTTAGTAAGGTTTTACGGCATAAGGTCATATGAGCGCAAAGGAGTGGATGTAAACAGATAAGTCCTTACTTGGAATCAGGCTTACTCTGCTCACCTCTCTAGCTTCAACAGTACAAAGTCTGCTTCGACTATCAAGGCACCCCGGAAATAGCAGGTCACAAGAGTGTGAAAAACATACCAAAGAAGTAGAGGAAAAATGACGATAGTAAGGATGAGCAAACAAAAAGCAGTCGTTCCCTGTAGCAGTTCCGGCACAGTTATGAGAATGACATTGATGAATCAGCCCATTTACAATTCTACTGTGTAGGCCTATAAGAACACGTTAATGTCCCCCATTTGGGAATGGCCTAAAGACACTTCAATCAGTCGCACCGCCCGGGGGGGGGGGGGGGTAGTGTATGTAGAGTTCACGTCCGTTTGCTCAACTCCCACGTTAGCATACACACCAAGTTTGTCTGTTTGTTTAGTCTACTGGGTAGAAGAGCTCTAATGCAACAATTATAGACCATAGATAAAGTAATTTACTTTCTTGTATCAGTTTCCTTTAATGTTTCTTCCAAAACAGAGTTGTTTTCACACGGTGCGGCCATCGCGATCATTCCGCGGACGATGTGTGTACTGTGCAAATCGAGCTTTCGCGAGAGGAAACGGAGTTCGCGTTTTCAATGAAAATTTTAAAACTTTTCCATTCGTACAAAATTATACATTTTGAGTATTTTAGATACGATGATTTACTCTATCAACTGCGTTTCATTGTGTTTCTTTTGCTTTTATTTCCTTGCGATTTTTTAAATCTGCCAGACTACGTCTGTGGTGTAGAGGTCACACCTAGGAGATCCGAGTTCGATTCCTGAGTGGAGAGGATTTGTGAGGCATCGTGGTGAAATCAGGCGCTCGTCAACTGAATGAAATTGTAGAAACTGGCACTTTTCCGCCAGTTTAGCAATTTTTTTGTAATTTCTGCTCTTTTGGTTTAACACATTTTATGTCCATCTAAGAACACATTTCTGCCTGCATTTTTATTGAAAATCGTTAATCAAAGGCACAAAACATTGTAAATTTTCAGTTTCCATGGACTACGGAAATAGCTCAATTTTGGCGGCCATTTTCTCTCTAATTTAACCCTGAAGCCAGGCTACCCTACCTCTTTCAATCGCAAATATTTCGGCTTGTTTTCTAGATAAACGGGTATTTTTTTCTTTGAAAACAGACAAATGAGCAAGCTTCAAAATGTTACCAATAAATCCACATGTCAAAAAATTGACAAGCGCTAGATTCCACTACGTCTTTACACATTTTTGTCCTGTATCTCGGTCTTTCTACTGGGACATTGTATCTCTCTCTGCCCTGGTTCGCCCTGACAGTGACAGAAAAGGTCAAAGCTCATCCCTTAAATGATCTAAATTGTGTCGATGGAGGATGCAACCAATTTGTGTTTCGCGCGCTCATAATGACCGTATGCAGTTGCGAGCGCCAAAAATCTCATACGAAACTAAACTAAGAACTCAATATGAATATTATATCCCTCAAGTAACCCACTTTGTTGTTTCCTTTGTCTTCAGACTGTACCTAAATATGAGCGCCCTGCGGTGGAAGAACGGGTCACGGCGTATTCCGACCTCCATCTGTAGCGAGCCCTGTCAGTTTGGGCAGTCCAAGATCACGGGACGGGAGTCCTGCTGTTGGATGTGTGTCTCTTGCAAGGTATGTCTTTGGTCACGGGGTGTGTGTGAGGATAGAGAGAGAGACAGACAGAGAGAGAGAGAGAGAGAAAGAGAGAGAGACAGAGAGAGACAGAGAGAGAGAGAGGGGGGGGTTGGGGAAGAGAGAGAGGGGAGAGATGGAAAGAGAGGGGGTGTCTCCT